TTCGCGGAGACTAACTGACTAACTAATTTGGCACAGCTGCACCTGACGTGTGGATTCTCAAGTTCCGTAGCGCCGTAAGATTTACCAACTGAAAACGCATGTTCGAGTGCAGAGGGCTGCTTCGTAGCCTTGTAGCCAACAAGGATGCCCCAAACACTTTGGCAAAATCACAAGGCTCTTTACCTACTCTATCTGCAACAAGCTCCCCTCGGCCCGACTCAGGCATACTCAGGCCTGATCAGTTGAATAAACGAGGCGAAGTCCACTGCCTTGGCGTTCACTCTGACTCTCACGTGGGTAGTTCTCTAAACGAGGGTCCCTTTTTGGGTCCTTTTTATAAGGGTGCCGTACCATACTGGGTACCCAAAAAGGAACCCTAATTTAGAGAACTACCCACGTCGTGGTGGTGTCTTGTCTCGAGGCTCTGAGCACGAGGCGTCGTTATGGTGGGCTGCGAAAACGGTCGCCTGACAGTCAGCTCTTGGCTTCCCTGGAGTGAAGCTGAGACTGGAGAGTACACATGTATATAAAGGAGCCTATAATTCTGTACAGTATGTGTATGTAGAAATAGTTTGTAATAGTTGTACATATTGAGAGAGAGAGAGAGAGAAAAAAAAATGAAGTTAGAGAGCGAATGTATGTACACAGTGCGTGTGTGTGTGTTACATATATGCTTGCACACAGAGAACTATGTATGTATGTATGTATGTATGCATGTATACATACATATGCAGACACATACATGCATACATACGTACGTACATACGTACATACATACAATCCCGGCCTTGTATCGCAGCTCTATCTGTTGCTTGCTCGTCAACGGGACGCCCAAGTCTAGGAGCAAGTCCATCACATCCTGCACCTCGGGCCCATACGTCAAAGCTTGAGACTGTAGCAATGAAGGTGGCTACTTGGCTCCACGCGAAGATTTGCGGCCCTTTGCCGCCTACGCACAAGAACGCCTGTTCGCAGTTCTGGGAGTGTCATGCCGCAGGTCTGTGATCATGAGTGCAGTTGGTCCGAACAAGAACTTGGTAAATGCTTGCTCGTTTCGACGCAGCTATCGAGGCTAGGCCCACACCTCACAGCTAAGCTCTGATGCCTTTCCAGAAATATCTAATCGGCGGCTCTCACTGTTGAAAGAAAGGCCAGCAATCACTGTTTGCAATGGAGCAGCTCACTACATGAGAGCAGTTCCCGCTCGTCTGGAACGGTGGTCATTGTCGCCATCATAACCACCATCGCCAACGCTAAGATTGTGAAATGCAGGTGGATATAGGAGAGTGGGGCAAAAGATAACGCAGTATCGAGAAGAGCTGGCAACACCACGAACAACAAAGATTCGGAGTCAAGAGGCAGGTAGAAGAACAGCAACGAGATGAAAATAGGAAATTTCAAATGATGAATATTATGCAGTACGTCCGCTAACACTGACCCGCACACAACACATCATCATCCATAATCGACCAACAACAAAGAACGAGCAGCATGCTCCAATTGAATAGCAAGAGACGATAGGGCACAAGATTGCCCTGCATGACGCAACGGCTACAACATGCTACAACTACAAGCAAGAACGAAGACAAAGGGCGTCTCTTACTACTTGGACTACCACGCCTGCCGCTACCCCTGGTCAGAGTAATCATAACGATGCTCATGGCGAGAATTAGGCATCACGCGGCGTGGTCCTATCGCGCATAGCCTCGCTGGTCACTTTCAGTCCGCTTACATACTGTCCTGCCTGAATTCGACCTCACAGCGAGGCATGTCACACCTATCCGTCTAGTAGACCGATGTACATGGAGGCAGACTGTGTAAACATACTATCCTGCATGTCGTCCTACTGCTGGAGGAAATACTGCAAAGCAGAAAGTCATGTTCAGGAAAGGCGTGAGCTTCGCCAGCAAAGGGGAACGGCAAAGGTAGGGAAGGGCAAGGCAGAAGAAAAGAAAACAAGTGGACAAGCAGAGGGTTTTGTTGAAGATGGGAATGTGGCAAAACACACAAAATAAAGATCCACGGCCGGTCCCTGAGCCCTGCATCTTCGAACTACCTATTTCTACCGAGCTATCACGGGTAGGTGACTGCTAGCGGCCTGCGAGTTAGGCGAGTCAAGAGCAGCCTGCCCATTCAAAGCTGGCAAGTGGCGCTGAGTTGTTGACCGGTGTACCCAGCCAAACCTCCACGGAGTACTGGACGGCAGGTCCATACGCAGCTGCTCTACACCGACATGTCATCAAGCTGTTGGCCGGAAGAAAGATGGCCTCTTCAAGCAATCGCACATACGTTGTACACCACGTCGTCGGAACAGCCAGCACGTCCAGCGTTGTAATACGGTCCATGTCAATGAGCAGGTGGAAGTGGAGACCGTCAAAGTATCCGTCGCGAGTCGTTCTGAACTCCACCGTGCGCTGCTGGTCAGTGAGAGTGTCCGCCCGGCCAAAACAGAACCACTCAAAGATCTCGGGGCTGGCGAGGAAGGAGGAGGGATCGAAGTGGCGCACATTGTATTTCACCTTTACGGCCAGCTCCTGCTCTCCATTGAAGAGTGAATGTAAGGCGAGCTCAAGTTCCGTCATTTCTAGTCTCTCCGTTGGGGCAAAGTAGGTCCCGGCAGCTGCTGGGATGAAGAGGCAGCCTGCAGAGGGAAGCTGTCTCGCATGCAGGTCCCTAATGGTTGGAACCACACCTTCCGAGCTCGCCATATATCCAAGGATTTCATGCACCACCAGGTCGTACTCTCCAGGCAGGGGGATCTCCTCACAAAGACCTTGATGAAGCTCCAGACTTGCAGGGAACTCGTCTGCATCATCTGGCCACAGAAGAACAGTGCCGCAATGGGAGCCAAGGGACTGCCGGAGAGTAGGATCTCGCCATTCGACTTCATGAACACTGCGCTCCCGAGCCTCCTGATCTTCCACATGGATCTGAAATCTCCGAGGCTGGGAGGCCTGGGAGCTTGGGAAGATGAGCTGCATTTGATCTGGGCACAGCTCTGCTGGCGTGCGTCGGAGCCATAACAGCGGAGGCAACTCCATCTTTGCCATCTCCATCTTAAACAGCTCCCGTGCATACAGCACGCTGGCGAAATTCTGTTCTACACAATGAACGAGCACCGCACCTGCTTTCAAGGCCAGCCTGCCAAGTAGACAGAAGGCCCCTGAACCTACATCCAGCACACGCCGCCCTGTGCCAGCACGTTGAATGCAAGTCTGAAAGCGGCCACTCGGTGCACATCGAGCGCCATCTCAATGTGGTTCTCTGAGGAATACTGCAAGTTCTGCTCCCGAATGCTGCGACCTTGCGCAGTGCGTGGAGAAAAAACTCGACATGGTCGTCCTGGTCCCAAATGCTCGTTAAAGCGTAGGGCCACAGGAAGCGACTGAAGCTGTGTAGCTTCAGATGCAGAGTACAGCTTACTCTCGGGAGGATAGCCCAATGCCTCACCGGCCTCTTTCAACAGCTGGAGTCTTCGTGTCACCAACTGGGAAGCGTTGGCGTCCGCTTCATCTCTCGACGCCCAGACTCTCCTCTCGAAGTCTGCGAGGACGCGGACTGCTTGCACCCATGGCTTAGTCACAGAGACAGGTGCAGTTCCCGATGCTTCTGCGGGACTTCGACTTCTGGAACGGGGAGACCGCATGGCTGGCACGCTTTCTGAGGCATGGTCCGCAGCGGACACTTCAGGAGATTGCGTCTGACGTCGGCCACAGATGGTATTGATTGCTTCACATTCTTTGGGACTGTCCGAGACGGCTCCCAAAGCCAGACAACTCACATTTTCAGAACACGAAATCTTGAACAGGCCGTCCCCGTCGGAGGCACGGGGTCGAAAGAGTGCACTCTAGTGTGGGCGACGGCAGATGCAGCACTACAAGGCTAAGACATGCAGGCTGCCGGACCATGACACAAGCGGCCTTGAGCTCAGCGATGGCATAATTTGCCTCGTAGCCTGGCAAAATGTTGTTGAGACCTTGCTACTCCGTCCTTCTTGGTAGGCATGAGCCTCACCAGCCTGCTCCTCCCGACAACATCTAATTTCTGGCTACCAGTGGCAGCTAATAAAGCTATTGTAGATTCCTGTGATTCAAGACGCTTTGCCCTGAAGCCCGGGATCACAGGGCAGCGGCACGAAAGTTGTTGCCGGACGCAGAAACGGACTCCACGACCTCCCCTCAGTCTCTTCAGCATGCTCATGCATCCCTATCAGTGGTCCCTACCAGTAGCGGCTTTCGAATTGATGCGGTGCATCTGCAGACACATACTTCTGCATTCTCCGAGCGTGTGGCACGTCGGAGGCGCGGGAGGCGCGGGTTGGGAGCGCCTCCGGCTGCTTGCGACCTGTGCGCGAGCAGCCAGAAATGTGCCGCCCCAATCATCACCTTCGTCATTTCCCCTTCACAGTGGGCGCCTTTTGCACGGATGCTCCGCCACCGTCGGTGCTGCATGCCTTCTCCATTGCCAGCTTGTGGAAGACCTTCAAAACACAATGTCTGCATATCCACACATGTAATCCGATAAACCTCTGGTCTCAAGCTTTTTTGCGATTGTGGGGACTATCACCCGCACTTGCGGGAACTATTGTCAGGGGAATGAGAATAACGAGCTTCGCAGCAATGAGTATTGTGCTAGTTCCGCCCCCTTGCATGACCTAGCTGATGCCGCTCAAACCGATGCAACATCTAGCCGTTGAAACTCCTTGGCGACTTTGTAGGAACCTCGCCTTCCTAAGCCCGAATCAGTAGTAGGACCCCGCAAGCTTTATCCATGTAAACCTTGTTCATGGCCTCCCGAAACTCCACCACCTCTGTTTGGGCGATGCCTGTCGAATTCAGGGCCTCAGCAGGGTCTGCACTGTCGCGAATGAGTATAGCTTCATCTACAGGGTTGTTGAATTCAGACACTTGGCTTAACTGAAAGTCTGTTTGCGCGTCCATTTGCACCGAGTACCAAGAAAGCCGCTGTGACTCATTGCTTGTTGCGAAGCCGCTATGATGCCGACCGTCTCCACGATACAGATGGGCCACACCATGTTCATCCCTCTTCTACAAACACTCTGCGGTCCCTTCTTCTCAGAAGCCCCAGCTGACTCACGTCTGATCCCAGGTCTCTGGGGCTTATCAGGTCTTGACGTCTTACCACCCCGGAAGGAAGCGCACCTCGTCGCCTCCTGCCGCCTGCCCTCGCTTTACATGAAGGACCCTGGCCCTTTTTCGCATCTAAGACCGTAACTTTGAAACCCTACATCGTGACGACACACGTATCGATCCGCCGGACCACTCCTTTAACATCAAGCCTGTTTCGGAGTAGCGGAGTGCCCGTGACCGCAGATTGTGCGGCCTGACCAGCGGAGTATTTCATGCCCCGGTTTTGACAGCTTGTAGTCTATAGCAGCATGAAGCTCCAAATAAGTGCAAGTAGCATCCTTTTTGCCCGGATACAAACATTCGCCCTACCACAATATGAAGGCCTAGCAGGGCCTAGCAATGCCCAAAAAGCCCCGACAAGACTTTTGATACATCAACATGTCATGTGATTTCGTACTATACACAGTTTTGGAACTAGTTTGGCAAAGACCAAAGATAAGAAATTCACAAAATGCACCGCACAGAGAAAACCAATCGTGCCCAGGTTCTGCCAACTCTCTTTCCATCACTGCCCGCCGGTGGCGGACACAAACCAACCGCAGCAGGTGCAGCCTAGCGTTGCTCTTGGGCTCTGGGTAGGAGGCCCTACACCCTTAAACCTTAAACCCTAAAAGGGACAGGGGTCAGAATTCCAGGGCCGAGGGTTTGGTTTGGAGTTGCCTTGTGAAGCCTATCAGTCTAGCGGTGTTTTTCTGCGGTGCTGATGATGGTGATGATGGCGACTGTTAGGGTTCTAAGTACAAGTGCCATGGCTGCTGGCACCACTGAAATCTCAGCATGCTGAAAAGTAGGATGGCTTCTGTTTCCTCTTCATGCGATCCATCGTTTGCATTCTGCATTGGCATTGAACCTCCTCAGCTGTGGTACTTCTGGCTTTAAGGTACGGTAAGGCATTATAAGCCCCTACCTACTGTGGTGTGGCCGGCTACACCCACTCACCTGGTTCCTCTCCTCCTGTAGTTCTCGTCTCGTCCACCTACTAAGTACTCAGGACTGCTTGTGCGACATGAGCGCAGCCAGGACCGCCGCTGCCCCCAATCCCACTACAACATGAACACTGGTACCGCAATTATAATTACTACTCAATCACCAAGATGATCTGCTTCTTGCAGTGAGCAACTAACTGCGTACTCCTCTTGCGGATCTAGCTCCCCTACGGCGAAGACCGTCAGGGACTGCAAATGAGGAGATTTCCACGGGCACTCTTTCTACATCGCTTGGTGCAAGCAACCCTGCTTATGACAGGCTTCTGACTGCCGGGGTAAGAACACATCTTCCTCTCCCTAAGTTGTTGCACAATTCCGTTGTCATGTGCGATCGTGAGCTGGACAAAGGCACCTCACGACTGGCTATGGATATGGACCCCAGACGCGTCTCCCGCAACGTGGTTGGTTGCATTTCTAGGATGGATCGCTTCAACTTCTGCAGCTTGTGGAACTGGGCGAGGTGTCTGAACACATGTGGATCTGAACAGAATGCTTGAGGGACAGATGTTCAGTTCCATCGCAGCCAGGCTCCCGGCAGTTTGTAGAAGGTGAGCATGTGGGTATCTGAGAAGCTGACCTGACATCATCAAGATGCAGGCAAACCATGTGCAGCCGGCTTGGTGAGCTGCCCAGCTCGCTTCACTGAGGGACGAAAACTTCGAAGATTAAGACTTCGACTCCGGAGACCGCGAGAAGCAGCACATCCAGGGCTTCGAGTATAGGGTGTCTCATCTCTGCTCAGACAGTATAGCCGACACATTACAGTCAAAAAAGCAGATGAAACGGGCTTTGGAAAATCGCTATGGTTGAGGACGGAGCTGCAGAGATCTTAGTCTTAGAGCCCAGAGATGACTGTCGCAGGCACCTCCTCAACGCCAAAGGCTTGCGCAGCATACCTGGCAGGGGAGGCGCCACGATTCAGATGACAATATCAGAAGAAAGGCTCGTAGCAATGGAGCAAATAGGATTCATGAACTCACCATTCTTCTCCACATGACATCTCAACTACAATGTCCCAGGTGCTGGTCTGAAAAACGACAAGCAACCCACGTGTCCCAATATTAATCACAACACTCTACAGCAGGGCGGATCTTTATACCAAGATAGAGGCACCATGACTAACAACACCGTAGAAAACTACTCAGAACTCCCAGCTACTCTAGTTGGTACCAAACAGCAAGAGCCACCATGATAGCAAGAAAGGAGCGCCAGCAACGACGAGAACGACGACGACGACGATAACAAGCAAAAACTATAGTGCCAATGCTTGCAGCATGACTATCCTAGATACTTGGCTACGACGCACCGCACCGGTCGGCAGCATTGTACACACCACGAAAATGAGCTTAAAGTTACATAATGGCCACCCGGCCGGGATCAGAAAGATCAGGGATTCACTTCAAAATGGTGGCAACATGCCACGCATGCATCAACAAGGCCTTTTTGCAACAGTAAGCGCACCAACAACGTTCACTTCATTTTTATAACCCCCCTCCCCCTTCTGAAAAAACTCGAGTCCGGAAACTCAATTGTCAACCCTTAAAATCTCGACCCTCAAAACTCCATCATCATTCCAGCCCTGGTTCCTACCAAAAACACCTGAAAGCTTCGAAGGGGCCCTCCCAGGTCGCCGAGCGAGTCAGCGAGTGTAGTACTGGCAACCCCCCACCCCCCAACAGTCAAAAAATCCAAACCGGAATGAAGTTAAGATTTAAGTTTAACATCAATCATGAGATCAGCAGGGCGATGACACCAACAATCAAGCCCCTGGTTTGCCACGGTTTGCTCCGTCCGTGGGTGCCCCTTGTGAGAAGTTATGAGCAACCAGAAAACAAGAGTTGTCCAACTTGCAAAAGGCCCCTTTGCTAACTACTTGCTTTCATGCGGGTCAAAAAAGCTCAACTTCCGAAGAAGCATCTGCTGCGAGGTCAGCACACGCACATCGACATGGAAGTGCCTGGCAGCATCCAGCTGCGACAAGACACCCTCCCGCTCCTGCAGCAAGGTGGCACTGTGGGAGTGTGATGCTATTCTCCTATGGATCCTTCCGGCCCTGGGATGTGCTTCGTGCCATGCTGAAAGCTCGGGGTCGTGATAATTTCCTCAAGAACTTAGGCGGTGTTGAACGCTTTCTTCCTAAGCCTTCTTCAACTCATGCAGCAAGAGCTCCTGCATCGTGTTCATCGGCAGGTCCAGAATCGACAGGCAACAAATCAGCCCTGCAGGAAGTCTCGCTTCCATGTTATGTTGATGCTGTAACGAAACCATCATTGAGTAAATCTGCTGCAGTCCGGTCTATACTGCCAGTGCATGTGACCCCCACTTGCACTTGCCAAGCTGACACCGGCCTCCCCTGTCCATGGTTCCAGAAGGTGCATACTCCTGCCCCGTGAGAAAGCACAACAGCCCATGCTCGTCTGGACATTCAACGAGCACATGAGACGGCACCATGACTGGCCACGACTTTGCAGTCACCATGGCTTTTCGAAAGACTTGTGCCAGCAACACCACTACGGCATCAGCATCGTCATCATCGTCGTCTTCACCATCCCAACTACCATCGCAACCTGCATAGCCGTTCCGATGAATTGAATTCTACGATCGTTGTACCCTGGCCATGTCCTTGAAAAGCCGCTCAAGGGTTTGCACGTGCTTCCGGGGGAAGCACGCACGCTGCCGGTTGACCTGCAGATAGGATCCGCTTTCGTGGTTGATGTTACTCTCGGCACTTCCAGCCCACTGCTTTTGAAGCACTTACCTCCAAAGAATCCCGATGTGTGGCAGCCCTGTCGAAGCTTCTTGCGGGTCAAGGCCACTCTCAACCCTAAACCGAGGTCGCAACGAGTGCAACCTTGCAACCACGGCGCCTTGGCCACGGCTTGGCGGCAATTCTTGGCAAGCTCGCACACTTGGCGGAAGTTGAACTCCTCCAGCCCAAGCAGATGCGTCTCCCATGTTATTGTGGCAAGGATGGCAACACGGCTCCGCCCCACATCCCCGGGCGCGAAAGCACCCAATGCAGAGTTCAGTATCTAGTTTAGGGTTTCAAGATTTGGATTTGAGGTGTTTATGGGTTTGCAGGTTGGCTGCCTTAGGAGTTGGTGAGGTCTCTGGGGACTTGACTAATGCACACAGAACGAGTGAGTGGCAGCTCTGCGTGGGCAAGTAGTCGCTATCCTAGCTTATCCTACTTCCAGTCGTTTCAGTAGGAATTACGCATGGTTGCTTTCATGCCCTCGGGCTTGTGGCGGTCCGCGGTCTTCGGGGTGTTTTGGAAGAATTTGAGGAGGGTGGAATCTGATCACGACGGTTTGAGTTTGCTAGGACGGCTGAGCCTCGCATAACTGCAAATGCAAGAATCAAGATGCCAAATAAAGGGCACATCAACCTTCAAACCAAAGCGGCTCCTCCAGATGTTCCATCCCTCCTTCTTTCAGCATCTGGTTGAGCTTGGCTTGGCCGGGGAAAAGCTCCAGCCTGCAAGCCGCAATGATCACGATGTCGATGCTATCAACAGTACTACTTCTGCTAATGATGCCGGCGCTTTGTTATGCTTGTGCGGATACTACTACTGGCACGGGAATTGAAGTATAGTAGTCCTCGACGTAACGGGAGCAGCAGCAGTCGTGGCAGCAGAGGGTGGGGTCTAGGATGCAGGATCGAATTTAGCTTTAAGGGGCAAAAAAAACTCTCAACTTGCTTGGTGGCATTGGGGATAGTGGCTGGGGCTTGAGGCGCAAACATGAAGATCCTGGTAAAGATTTTGTTTTGGGTCAACAATCAAGGGCATGCATGGGTCAAGCGAGCCTCTAATCCCTGCCCCGACATCGTGGCATAAACTCGTGGACGGCGGATGCCGGGTGGGGAGAATTTCGGGGTTTGAGCTGCACCCGTAGGCAGTGGCAGGATACCCATGATGAGAATGAGCAGGATGAGCATGAGCAAAAGCACAAGAACGACCATGAGAATGATGAAGGTGCTGGCGCAGACTATGATCAGGGTGAGGGGTGGAGACCATGGTGGATGATGTTTTTGCTGGTGATGGTTTTGCTGGTGGAAGCCATCCGACGGGCAAGACGAAAACTGCCAGTGTTGGTCCTGGTGGTCGCTGTCGATCAGGAGCGACGGCATTGGCCGTGCAGCAGTGATGCTTCTGCTACTGACCACAAGCCTGGATGCAGCATGCGCTTCAAGGTCCGAGGACCCTGCGCCAGCAAAACAGTTGCCAATTCGAGGTGGTTGCCTGCACAAGTCGGCAGATCATCCCCTGCACGCGGACCTGGAAGTACTACACGCAGGAATGCAAGCCAAGGAACAAGTGCCAGCATCGCTTGCTTGGCCGAAAGCGGACTTGAGTGCCTCGGAACAGGAAGGATTCAGCAGGTCTTGGCCGCACATGGGGCCTTTCAACTGTGCAGTGTCTGAGCACGCGACTCGAGACTGCATGATCTCGTGCTGGCGCATGCAAGCCAAAAACTCCTCACAATCCAGCCTCAGCACACATTGTGAGAGAAATCCCACTCGACCACGTTATCTGCCTTTGAGTCAAATTAATCGACCCAGCTGGGTGGGGGACTCGTCGTTGCCATCCACATCACTGCGTCGCATCATCCTCAGATTGCAACTGTTTTCAACACCATAAAGACATGACAAATAGAAAACAGCAAGCTACAATTAAGAAGGTTGATGGCCTGCATTATGAGTGGCACCCGAGCCGCCAATGATTGCATGACCGTGCAGAGAGGATGCTTCATTTTTTCGGCATCCGAGCGGGCTTGCTTTGTGTTAGCAACTCTTAAATGAGTCGCGGAAGCCGGAGACCACAATAACGACACCGACCTGCGAGTTGTCCCCACCAGCCCGCGGCGGTGATTCCCAATAACCGGAACACAATAAAAGTCAAGCTGGTTCGTCACATCGTTGTCAAACGACATGCTCTGCAACGGCAAGGTGCAATCGGTTAGTCAAGCTCCACCACGTCTGACGAAGATGATGCCCCACCTTGGGATTCGCTCAGCACTGTGGGATTTTCCAGCGCCTGGTTCTTCTCCCACTAGAGCCGCATCGACCTTTTAAACCAATAGAACTTGTGCTCCCACTGCGTCTTGCCCATGACCTCCTTTGGGTCCGGCGTCCAGGGCTCCGATGCACGCCTCACGCTCCGTGGTCGCGCTGCGTTGAACGCTCTGTACATGTCGGACTCCTTCATTTGCCGGATGACTTCCACGCGCTTCCGCTTCTGATTCTGCCACGTGTCGGCTTCTTCGTCCTTCAGGGAGCAAGCGGGTCACGAAAATTCCGGTGTCTGAACGGGCGATATGCTTTGTGATCGGTGACTGACAGACTGTTCGAGCATGCCCCACACATGCCGTTCCAACATCAACTTTTCACGGCAGCCCAACCAAAGAAACACATAAATATGTCGAAAGACCCTTGCACAACCTGACGTGCAAAGTATGCACGAAGCATTGTAACAGGACGTGCCCTGCAACGTCACAAACGAGTTCGCGGCATGCCGATCTCCAACACGGTTTGCGTCAGCAGCACCGTGCGCACTAGCCTGAAACCGGACATCTGCGCATGTACCCAGCGCCCGACGCTCTTGGAAGAAAGTTGCGAGCGCGAATTCATGTCAAGCTCGCTTTGTGACACTCTGTGACGCTCGCCACAGGTCTTCCGTGCTACCTCGAGAACAGTTCCAAACAACCTCTAGGCAGTTGAAGCCTTCATACATACCGAGCCGGGTCAATCGCGAATGCTGCTTCCAACACAGCTAGCAGCTGCCACTGCCACAACAGGAAAAACATACCAAAGTCTGCATGTCGAGAGTTGATCACAAAAGTATGTCCCCCTGCCTGTGACGGGTTCGCCGTCACCGAGCTTGGGGCACCAGACGCTGCACCAGCATCTTCGGAAGTCTCGCAAGGCTCCTCATGCAAGTGACTCAAGCGTCATCTATAGGTGTATGTAGCAAAATGCACAGGCAAGCACCCAGTCAGAGTCGCAGCTGAATCTTGTCATCGGCTCCGCTTCACGTGAAAACCAAAAAAACAGAAACACGACCAACGAGCTGTACACTGCGAACATACCGGATCGGCAGCTCCTATTTGTCTGATGATCTGCTAGTCCTTCTTTTGGGGTTCTGCTTAGGTTGAAAGCTGTCGGTACTTCGCTGGACCTGTCATTGCCGAAACTGTAATGCTAGAAGTTTCGAGGGGCAGCATTGGAGTATGTGCTTCCTGGTGACGTGAGTTGCTGTGGAGCGGATGCTGAGCACGTGCACTGTCGAAACGAAGTCTGCCATCTGTGTCGAGTGATGCAATGCAAAGCCACACTCGAGATTCGCGTGCATCGTGGCTTGTATCTGCCCCTGCTGACTCCGGGAATCAAGTGCCCGACTCCGATACCAGAAAGCTACTGCAACATCTCCACGACCGATCTCCAAAGTCGCTGTGTGACAAACCGCACCCGCCTGAGGGTTGATACCGAATGCGCGTCCAACACAGCTGCTTCTACGGCAAGGCAACGCGTGCCGCGTGCCGCGGCCCGTCTCGAAAGGCGCTTATTGCTCTTATTATAGCTATTACCCGAAACCCTACAGTAAGTGCGGTGCATATCAGGTCGCTTGGGAAACCACATCCGCAAATGCATCATTCAAGAAATCCGGCCCCGTCCCGTCATGTCACAGGCTTATGTCAACAGTGCACCATACGGAGAGCGACGACTTCTTTCAGAACCTTGCGCCCCCTGCCTGTGACCTGTGGCCAGCGCTAGCTGCAGCAGAGGAAGCCGCAGCATCCTTCAGGGAGCAAGTGGCTCATACGTCCAGGAATGGAAAGCATGCACCCGTCCAGTAAGAGTCATAGTAAGCTTCATACCGAGGAAACCTTGTCCTTGGTTCCGCTTCACGTGAAGGCCAAAAATAGCCTAAAAAACGCAACTACAAGTCTTGTTTTTTGGGGCTCTCCTTGTACGTGCTGGCAGCTGTCGCTACTTCGCTGGATCTGTCATGGAAGCGGCTGAAATGCCAGCAGTTTCACTTTGAAGGGCGCTCTTGGAGTAAGTGCTTCCCTGTGAAGATGGTGCTTACATAGAAGTTCGTGGCGTCGGCGTTTCTGCGGATTGGGGGTCGCAGGCTTTGGGTGGCTGTTGAGTTGGAGCTACATTGATTCTGGAAAGCGGGCGTTGGGGCATTACGCAGTCCTGTACGACCGCCGCAACCACTGCATCATGGCTGCGATCTGCTGCGCGACGGGACGGGTGATATGCCTCGAGATCGAGATCGAGGCCTTAAGCGATTTTCGGAGCGATGCTTGAGCGATACCTGAGCGATACCTTGAAACATGTCTTCTTCAGGATCAGCGTTCACCGACGGCAACACGAAAAAACACCTGCATGTCTCGAAAGAGCCGGCAGGCGCGAAATCCACACGAGTCTGTATCTACTCCTGCTCACTGCGGGCATCAGCACATGTACTGATTGCCCGACTCCAATACAAGAAATCTACTGCAACATCTCCACGACAGATCTCCAAAGTCGCTGTGTGACAAACCGCACCCGCCTGAGGGTTGATACCGAATGCGCGTCCAACACAGCTGCTGCTACGGCAAGAAAACGCGTGCTGCGTGCCGCGGCCCGTCTCGAAAGGCGCTTATTGCTCTTATTATAGCTATTACCCGAAACCCTACAGTAAGTGCGGTGCATATCAGGTCGCTTGGGAAACCACATCCGCAAATGCATCATTCAAGAAATCCGGCCCCGTCCCGTCATGTCACAGGCATATGTCAACAGTGCACCATACGGAGAGCGACGACTTCTTTCAGAACCTTACGCCCCCTGCCTCTGACCTGTGGCCAGCGCTAGCTGCAGCAGAGGAAGCCGCAGCGTCCTTCAGGGAGCAAGTGGCTCATACGTCCAGGAATGGAAAGCATGCACCCGTCCAGTAAGGGTCATAGTAAGCTTCATACCGAGGAAACCTTGTCCTTGGTTCCGCTTCACGTGAAGGCCAAAAATAGCCTAAAACACCAGCAACTACAAGTCTTGTTTTTTGGGGCTCTCCTTGTACGTGCTGGCAGCTGTCGCTACTTCGCTGGATCTGTCATGGAAGGAGCTGAAATGCCAGCAGTTTCACTTTGGAGGGCGTGCTTCCCTGTGAAGATGGTGCTTACATAGAAGTTCGTGGCGTCGGCGCTTCTGCGGATTGGGGGTCGCAGGCTTTGGGTGGCTGTTGAGTTGGAGCTACATTGATTCTGGAAAGCGGGCGTTGGGGCATTACGCAGTCCTGTACGACCGCCGCAACCACTGCATCATGGCTGCGATCTGCTGCGCGACGGGACGGGTGATATGCCTCGAGATCGAGATCGAGGCCTTAAGCGATTTCCGGAGCGATGCTTGAGCGATACCTGAGAGATAGCTTGAAACATGTCTTCTTCGGGATCAGCGTTCACCGACGGCAACACGAAAAAACACCTGCATGTCTCGAAAGAGCCGGCAGGCGCGAAATCCACACGAGTCTGTAGCTACCCCTACTCACTGCGGGCATCAGCACATGTACTAATTGCCCGACTCCAATACAAGAAATCTACTGCAACATCTCCACGACAGATCTCCAAAGTCGCTGTGTGACAAACCGCACCCGCCTGAGGGTTGATACCGACTTCGCGTCCAACACAGCTGCTGCTACGGCAAGAAAACGCGTGCTGCGTGCCGCGGCCCGTCTCGAAAGGCGCTTATTGCTCTTCTTATAACTATTACCCGAAACCCTACAGTAAGTGCGGTGCATATCAGGTCGCTTGGGAAACCACATACGCAAATGCATCATTCAAGAAACCCGGCCCCGTCCCGTCATGTCACAGGCTTTTATGTCAACAGTGCACCATACGGAGAGCGACGACCTCTTTCAGAACCTTACGCCCCCTGTGTGTGACCTGTGGCCAGCGCTAGCTGCAGCAGAGGAAGCCGCAGCGTCCTTCAGGGAGCAAGTGGCTCATACGTACAGGAATGTAAAACATGCACCCGTCCAGCAAGAGTCATAGTCGCAGGCTTTGGGTGGCTGTTGAGTTGGAACTACATTGAATCTGGAAAGCGGGCTTTGGGGCATTACGCATTACTGCACGACCGCCGCAACCACTGCAGCACTGCTGCGATCTGCTGCGCGATTGGACTGGTGATATGCCTCGAGCTCGAGATCGAGACCTTAAGCGATTTCCGGAGCGATGCTTGAGCGATGAAATCGCTTGAAACATGTCTTCTTCAGGATCAGCATGAACCGACGGCAACACGTATGGAACAAAAACAACCGCATGTCTCGAAAGAGCCGGCAGGCGCGAAATCCACACGAGTTTGTATCTACCCCTACTCACCGCGGGCATCAGCACATGTACTAATTGCCCGATTCCAATACAGGAAAGCTACTGCAACATCTCCACGACAGATCTCCAAAGTCGCTTTGTGACAAACCGCACCCGCCTGAGGATTGATACGGAATGCGCGTCCAACACAGCTGCGGCTACGGCAAGGCAACGCGTGCCGCGCAGGTCGCTTGGGACACCACGTCCGGTGAATGCATCATTCATCATGTCACAGGCTTATGTCAACAGTGCACCATACGGAGAGCGACGACTTCTTTCAGAACCCCCTGCCTGCGACGTGGAGCTTCCAGCGGTAGCCGCAGCATCAGACGTGCCACCCTTCAGGGAGCAAGTGGCTCATACGTCCAGGAATGCAAAGCATGCACCCGCCCAGTAAGAGCATAGTAAATCATACCGAGGAAACCTTGTCCTTGGCCCGGCTTCACGTGAAGACGAAAGAAGCCAAAAACACCAGCAACTACAATGCTTGTTTTCGGGGCTCTCCTCGTATGTGCTGGCAGCTGTCGCTACTTCGCTGGATCTGTCATCGAAGGAGCTGCAATGCTGGCAGTTTCACTTTGAAGGGCGCTCTGGGAGTAAGTGCTTCCCTGTGAAGAATGTGCTTCCATAGAAGTTCGTCGCGTCGGCGTTTCTGCGGATTGGGGGTCGCAGGCTTTGGGTGGCTGTTGAGTTGGAACTGCATTGATTCTGGAAGGCGCGGGCTTTGGGGCATTACGCATTACTGTATGACCGCCGCAACCACTGCAGAACAGCTGCGATCTGCTGCGCGATTGGACTGGTGATATGCCTCGAGATCGAGATCGAGACCTTAAGCGATTTCCGGAGCGATGCTTGAGCGATGAAATCGCTTGAAACATGTCTTCTTCAGGATCCGCATGCACCGACGGCAACACGTATGGAACAAAAAACACCTGCATGTCTCGAAAGAGCCTGCAGGCGCGAAATCCACGCGAGACTCGCGCGCCGAGCTCCATCGGGGTTTGTATCTACCCCTACTCACTGCGAGCATCAGCACATGTACTAATTGCCCGACTCCAATACAGGAAAGCTACTGCAACATCTCCACGACAGATCTCCAAAGTCGCTCTGTGCCAAACCGCACCCGCCTGAGGATTGATACCGAATGCGCGTCCAACACAGCTGCGGCTACGGCAAGACAACGCGTGCCGCGCAGGTCGCTTGGGACACCACGTCCGGTGAATGCATCATTCATCATGTCACAGGCTTATGTCAACAGTGCACCATACGGAGAGCGACGACTTCTTTCAGAACCCCCTGCCTGCGACGTGGAGCTTCCAGCGGTAGCCGCAGCATGAGACGTGCCACCCTTCAGGGAGCAAGTGGCTCATACGTCCAGGAATGCAAAGCATGCACCCGCCCAGTAAGAGTCATAGTAAGATTCATACCAAGGAAACCTTGTCCTTTGCCCGGCTTCATGTGAAGACCAAAGAAGCCAAAAACACCAGCAACTCCAATGCTTGTTTTGGGGTTCTTCTTACATGTGCTGGCAGCTGCCGCTTCTTCGCTGGATCTGTCATTGAAGGAGCTGCAATGCTAGCAGTTTCACTTTGAAGCTCGCTCTGGGAGTAAGTGCGCTGTAAGGGATTTGCAAAGGATGTTTGGTGCTTACATGGACGCGCGCATTGAAGGCTTTCCGGACTTGGGTGCGTGAGGTCGGTATGTTTGCAGATCGGAAGATCGCAGTTGCGTGTGACACCCCAGTCACCCGACTCCTGTCTCCCTTGCAAACAACCTGCCGCAACATCCCCATGAACGACACCAGTGAACGCGCGATGAGGTTAAAACTCCGCAACAACCTTCCGCGCAAGACAGCAACTGCTGCAAAAATACTCAAACCTGACATCCACATGTACAGTGAGGCTTGATCCCGAGTGCGGCTTCCAACATGCCAACATCTCATGCCCGACATCCCAGCAAAACAAACGTTGCTGCAAGAAGAGTTCTACCCCGACCTCTGAAAGCACGACATGATTCCGAACACTGAGCGACAAATCGTTGGGAAAGTCCATTGGGAAGGCAATCCTATGATGAAACAAGCCTATGATATGAGAGATCAAGAATTCTTTCGAACCAACAGCTTATATAAGGGTACCACCACAATACTGAAGGCAAACCGCCACATGCCAGAGCCCCCGATGTCTGGAGTCTGAAAACGAACCTAAGCCAGCAAAGACATGTTGCACTCGCACCGACCCCACCTGCAAACTTGTGACAGCAGAAGGGTCTTGTGACGTGCCATCGGGAACGGGACCTGGCGGCAAGGGTGTGGAGTGAGAAGTCGAAGTCCTTGGCCGTTTGCTCGACAGGTCAGGGGCCAGCTCCTCCTCCACCAGCTCCGCCGAGATCGGCTCACCCCTTCGCAGTCGCGGCGGCGAAGGAGTAGACTGTGAGAGCGACTGATGCGACTGCGACAGCGACTGCGGAAGAGACTGCGAAAGAGACTGCGACGGCGTATCAACAGTGTCAGCCCACAGTCGTTTCGGCGCCAGCGTGCGCTGCCAGGCTCGGTTCAGGGAGGATGCACTAGAGGACGTGGACTCCAGGGAGGAGCCATGGCCTTCCCCGGACATCGCCATGGAACACAGAGTCAGAGGCCTTGAAACTTCGTTGTTTCGCAAGTCATGTGGACTTTAGTTGTGGATCTACACGGAAGTGCCTTTGAAGCCATTCTGGGACGAAAGTCCTGCTGTGGTCCAGCCCTTTGGGCAGTTCTTGGAGGCCCAGTGCTACTACTGGTAGTGTCCTCTTAAGACTGTGTAATCACAAACGGGCTGTTCTTAATGCCGCGCGCATTAGCTATGAGGACTCAGCCCGTCACTCAGGCCTGCAGAGCCAGCTGCGGCAATGAGGTCGCGACAGGAAGAAGCTGCAGAGAAAGCATCTGAAAAAAAGTGGTCCAAGCTGCTCCTGTGTTGTCTCGAGAGTGCTGTTGTAGCCCAGGTACATCAACCTTAGCAGCGGCAAAGAAACACTGCCCACCGCCTGGACTGCTTGCCACTCGCGAAAAGCACACGTGTATCTGGTGTGAGCGGCAGCAGTAGCATCCTCAGCTTTGTCGACATCACCCTCGTCATCGACAGGTCATCCGTCGTCGCCGGATCGTGCTTCATCTTTGCTATTTTCAGTTTTCTTGATCAGCGCACCGGCATGACCCCCACATCTTAGTAAGTTCTGGTGAGGTGTAAAAAGACTCTAAGTGAGTGAGGCCTCGCCTTCTTGAAAGCACTGCACTGGCACAATTGCGATTCTCCTGCTTGATGCTGCGTCAGGCTTGTTCTGACCGTCTCCTGTCCTGTCCACTCGGGTGCGCGCACATCCACCATCTCCGTGACATCCATCTTGCCGGAATTATCGCTGTCGAACAGCTTGAAAACCTGCAAATGAAGTCGCATTTCATCGGATGCGCTGCGGCACTGCCAATCGGCAACCAACTCCCACAGCCTCCTCGAACTCTTTGATCTCCTGCTTGGTCTGATTGCCCGTGCTACCTGCAGTCGCAGCCCAAACAATTGCAGAGCACTGCACAGCTTCGCGTGATCGACGAGTCTTCAGGACGCTGGCGTATGTTCCGCAGAACCCGGACGGCATCATCGAAGCTCAGCAACTGCCCTGGTGCCACGCCACCCTGACAGAGAAAGTGACTCGTGGTTTTTGCAAAGGAGACTGGCTTGCAAGGAACTCAAAATTGGAGCCGGTACTTGGCCGCCCGCTTCCAACAGGATCTGTGAAAGCTTCGAGCTGAAAACCACGGACCTGGACATATCCGAGACTTCCAGCGCAAAACACCGAATCCGAGTCTGAGGTCGCGTCAGCTCTGACGGGATCATGTCGAGGAATTCTCCTGCCACTGCTCAAGGGGTGGTCTTACCTTCTGCACCATTGAGCCGCGCAGACACATGCTCGAGAGAGTTTCGTGCCTGCAGACACCATGCCGTCGGCGTCTTTGTCAACTCGGTGGAAACCATCTCGGATCGGTGACAACTCCTTTCCAACCGAGAACCGTAGCTCGGCACGAGAATTCTCCCGCGGCCGATGCCCAACAAGCACTGTCGTAGTTCCGTTCTTCCTACGAGCCCAAATCTTTAGAAACTCCCCGTTCTGGTGCCCAGAGATCCCAATACCCCTTAATCAACGAATAGACCTTAAGCCATACTATTTCCGGCCCCCCTATAATTTAAGGTATATTCCCCAATTAAGGTATATACTTTAAGCCATCATATCATGCCCCCTATAATACTTAAGGTATATTCCTTAACTATAAGGGGTATTGGGATCTCTGGGTGCTCTATCCCGGTCCTGCACTTCCAAGCGCCGGGCCTTCGGAGATCTCTCGAGGCTTGAGAAACCCGAGTCCCTCTGGGCTTCAGAATTGCAAAACAGGTTTATAGGGTTTAGGGGTTTAGGGGACTAGGGTTTAGGGGTTTAG